TAATATAATGCAAAATGTCTCACATAATGTTATTCTTTAAAAAATAAAAATATATTTAAAATAAATTAATAAAAATTGCATTTTTTAAAGCTTTGTTGAATAATTTGAAATTTTGATATTAAATATTTTTTTAAAATTTGCTTTGCTAATTATAAAATCCTTTTCAAATAACAATAATCACAAATAAAATAAAAATTAATAAAATTTCAATTTATTAAAATTCTTTCATTTTACCTTCATTCTTTCAATACAAATAAATTCTCCGATATTTCCCTATTTTTCAAAAGAACGACAATTCTATTATTTTATTACTTTTATTATACATTGCAACAATCATAAAAAATCATTATTAAATCATCCTTTAAATCTCTCATTACAAAGTAATTACATCACTAAATTAGAAATGAACAAAGTTTGATCACTAACAATTATCGACAAAAAATATTTTTAAACATGTGTTACTAATGTATTACGTCAACGCTGATGGATACCAAACGCTGTTCAAAAGCGAGCGCGCGCTAGTTTGACAGGACTGGACCAAAATTATAAAACACTTTTCTAAGAAGAAACAGCTGCTGCTGCAAAATATCGTTTTGTCCTCTTAACCCTTATTTTTCCGTGAAAAAAGGTGGAATCTATATTAAGCGCTTCTAATGACATGTAAAAGTAACAAATTCAAGAAATATTTATCTCTCACGTAACAACATTAAAACACTTCGTCTATAGATAATTATTTTTTTCCACGCACTTAAACATTTTTTGTCATAATAAAATTTCAGAAGACTTTGAAAACAAGAAAGAAGGAACACGTATACATTTACCGAGTCAAAATAAAAAATTGTAAATCGACCAGGAAATCCTGCTGCATGCTTCGAGATAATCGAGACTCTCAAAATCCATCTATAATCGCTCAGATCAATCGCTCCTCCGATCGAGGAATCTCTCCACGATCGGTCACATGCAATTAATGATATGTACCTCTATATCTGTGCGTGACCGAGAAATTAACGAAACGTGCGTGTGACAATATATACGGCTCGAAAGACGCGCGCGCGAGCCGCGTGGAGTGCCACTTCGCAAACTGCGGGCCCAACGCCGCGTTGGCTGTGATAGCGACGACTGGCGACGACTTCCACCGGAGGATGGAATAAAAGCCGCCGCCGACGACGACGGCGGCGACGGCGGCGCCGCGGCGCAAGCGTCCCACGCGATCCGCTCGTTCTCTCCCATTTTTTTCCGCGAACCGATCAAATCACCTGTCCAATGTTTCATGCTGCACTAACAAACACCTAGCTCAATCCCCAAATTGATCAATAAAATTCTGAGGGATTAATGTTAAAAATCCGTGTCCGCGATTCACGTTGCATATTTCAGCGTCCTTCCCTTGCTCGTCAAATAATTCTGTTTTCGCAATATTTATGTAATATCTAGAGATTATTGTGTGTTCATATATTTCCATAAATTGTGCATCTCTTTTCTTATAGAAACTACAGATTAGAGAAAGCAAATGATACTATTATTAAATAAGAATCAATGCAAGTATAATTAAGTGAGATTTTTGTCGTAATTGTTGGTTTTCATTGTTTTTAAATTAGATGTCGTAATTGTTGGTTTCCATTGTTTTTAAATTAGATGGAAAAATCTTAAAGAGAGTCTTCAAGAGAGGACTCTGCAAGTTGTAAAATGAATGAACGGGCGATATTAAGAAAAAGTTTATAAAATGTGTTGAGAGAAAGAGACAATAAGTTTTCTATCACGTTTCAAATATCGATTTCTTGACAGCATATATATATATATATATATATATATATATATATATGCACACATGTAGGATACTGCTCCAGTTTTCTTGGCAAGGATTAATCTGATATTGCTGTAACGCGCTTTTCAAACTGTCATTTGTCCCAGTTCCTTCTATTCATTATCATACTAGTAACTTTGTAGACCATATAAAGCAAACTAAAAGCTATTTTGATAATGTTACAACAAAATTCAACAAAAGTTTATATTCATTATTGCTTTAGTTATTTCGACATCTTGATAAAAGAGATGGCATATTAGTAAAATATTTTCGAGTAACATATAAATGTTAAATACTGTATCAAAAGATGTTATTAAAATATTCACATGAGAAAAATGTAATAAATTTCATCGATTCAACAAGTTTCATTAAATTTCTATCTTTGAGAGTCGATTCAGACATATACAATATATGTATGGTATAATCAAAATATATTTAAAATTAAGAAATTATTCTCTACTTAATATTCTTTCTCTCATCTTAGTTTTGTTTAAATTATTTAAAAAATAATTTTATAATTATCGTGGAAAATGTAAAATATTTGATAAAAATGTAATTTTCACCATCTAAATACAGAGAATTAGGACCCTTACATCAACGGTAAACTTGATCGTTAATCATAATCATAGCTGCACTGCCATCGGCTATAAATTCCTAGAAATAATTTATTACTTCGAATTATTTTGCGCCGATTATTTTCCGCCGCGTAAATTAAGCGCGGTTTTCTCTACCACGTTTGTTTGACTGTGAGAAAATGACTAGAACGAAGTAAATATACACGAGCGAATATTAATTCGAATCATCAGTATGAAGAGGTAACGAACAAATCTCTTATCATCATCATCCGCTCCTAGAATCTAGTTCTATTTGCTCTTGCATATCCCGAATATAATCGAATCGTCAATGAAGATACAACGAACAAATCTCTTATCATCATCATCATCATCATCTGCTCCTAGAATCTAGTTCTATTTGCTTTTGCATATCCCGAGTGTTACTAATGTAATCCAAATGTTTGTACGCGAGAGATATTCTTGGATAATTGATTTTAGCACAATCAAAATTCCCTAAAAGTAGATATTCAACGCAGTACGATAATAAATCATGTTCATTTTGGACAAATGTTGTTTTATAAAAAAAATTAAATCCTCGATAAACGAAGGAATTGATTAAAAATAAAAAAATATTTATTCAAATATCTTTCCTCTTTTCAAACGCATAAATTTTAAAGATTCGGATGTCTCACCTTTGATGGTTGCAATAAAATTTCCAATTATTCTATTCTACTGATCCAGTTAAGAAAATCGATACTTCTTCATTGACCGGTGGAGGAAAATGTGGCGCAATATTTTTTATTTTTACATCGAGCAATAAATATCTTGCGCGAAGTGCCATATAGGGGAAGTAATTTTCTAGTTCAACGCGGCAGTGGTATTGCTGATTTTCCACTCTGTCGCGAATCATCAGCGAATAGCCGCTTCTTTTCATCCGCGCCATATTCCTATCGCAAGATTTATTCGATTAGCGCAGTACCGATTAAATCGCCGCGGGCGAGAAGGAAAGTGCATCGCCGGTGCATCCATAGATGCGCACTGAACCTCGGGCGTGCCTATACCGGAAGTCATAATCACGTCGCGCCATGAGATCGCGCCGCGAGAAAGCAATTAGTTCACGTCGATAATTAATTAAACTTTCGCGATCGAATTCGACACAATGCAAACGCATGCGCTCCAGATAGGAAGTCTCTATCGACATCTATCATTATTTTTACATTACCGTGAAGAAGTTAATTAAACCGCCTTCTTTCGTTTATATCTCACACCTGTATCTCTCATTTTTATATATTTATTTCTCATATTATATATATATATATATATATATATATAATGTTATATATATATATACATATTATATTATATATTAGTACATATATTTAACTATCCAAAATAAATATGATAAAAATATAAATCTGAGCTAAGCAAAAATGTGATGAAATATACATTATATGTATTTTGCTCACTAGCAAAAATTGAAGAAATTATTCAGCGGGATAGATTGTGCGAGATATTATTACCGAGTGTGTCTATGTGTGTCTACCAATATACGTATGCAAAGAATGCGTAACTTCGAGATAATTTCTCGAGAGTAGCAAAACCTGATAAATCTCGGCGCACCCTCTCAAACAGTGTGAGAGAATTACGCGGATGTCTTCAATTAATTTCGAGCTACGTAACTGAGAATATTACACGCGCGTTAAGTCTAGCCGCTGAGAATACCGCGAGTCCCTTCGCACGTAATGAACTTTCAGACGCCGCATTAGTGTATCACCGGCGGTCGGAGGGCGAAAATTCCGTCGTTTCCAACGCGCCGCAAATTGCATTCGATTGCGTTGCGAAGGAAAATTGATTACGCGCTAAACTCGTTATCGGACGCACGGCCTGATATTATACGATGGAGATCGACCCTCCTCGATCGATCGATCGATCGATTGCAGGGGCGATCCTTGCACGATCAAAGATATCAATATTAATTTTCATTTGTATCGGGATCGTTTGCATCCCCATGCGGGTGGCGTAAATTAATTGCAGACTGATGTCGTAAGCTGATTAAATCATCGTTCGAATGTAATTAGATACGAATCCGCAGCTCGCTAACATTATCTGCATGGTGTATTTCGGGAAAACCCTTTTCTATATTTAGAGAATTGAATTTCTCATCTCAATTAGACGACACAAAGGAATCGTATACCCATGTAATTTGCAATCTAAAACTTTGATAGATAGCCTGCTTATCATTCAATAAGTCTAAAATACTTTCTAATTTCATAATTTCTTGGTATATATAAATTATGTTCTCTCATTTCATATGTATCTACCTCTCTCTTTAAGCACCAAATATAAATGTCATAATATATCGCGTAATGGTCGCGTATTCAAATTATCTTCAACTTTCAATTAACGCGCAAAAAAATGAAAATAACTGTTCTCGCTTGATTGGAGAACTCTACAAGTCCATCCACGCGATAATGAAGCGTGCGGGCTATCAATAACACCTTAAAATCGATTCGGTTTTTTTTTCTCGCGACCATTAAAAGTTTGCCCGTACTCGGGGAAATAGTTACGGGAGAACATGCTGTATTGTACTTCGCGCACACCGGTTCGTTTATGATCGAGTAGGATGATCGTTTCCGTTCACTTACCTGATAGTTGACGTTCCGACTGCGAGCGCGGCTGCTGCTGCAAGCTCTGAAAACAGCAAAGAAAACGCATCATTGGTTTGAGAAATGGCAGAGGCATTCTCGGTGCTTGCGGGATCGTGCAAAAGGTCGCAGGAGTGCCTTTAGCGCGAACGATGCGTTTACTGCAGTCAGATGTACCAGTATTTCTCAAACTATTGCCACGGTAAAAGCATCGCTCGAAATAAATTGGTTCTCCCGTTTAACGACTAGTTTAATAAACTAGTAAAGCCTGTTTTATATCTCGATGTAAGATAGGCGTTCGAAGAAACCGCAGCACGTACGCTATTTGAAACGTCTCGAGATTCCAAGTGAATTCCTCTAATTACGATATGCACACAGAGATATTATATTAGTGTGCATTTAATTTAATCGTTTAAGAGAGTTGATAACGTAATTTTATACTATTATATCGGAAAAGAACCGGTTTCTTTTAAGACTTCGTCAAGTCGTCTAGCGCGGTGTCGTTTTATTTCCTGATAATATCCGCAGACACAAAAGACGATCGTTATCCTTTATCGGGGATTCTAAAACTTTATTTCGTCTTCTAGCAACGAAAGATAACTAATAATCGGCGCGGTTCAACCGTGACCCACTTGCAGTATTGAGCCGACCTCGAAAACAACCATGACCTTATCTACGTCGTGCTCCACCGAACGGATGCATTCATACATGGATCGATTTCCCCTTCAATATTCACGAAAAAAACCGAGAAATTCGTAGTTGACCTTAAGAATTTACACGCGATACGTCGCTCTTGCTCCCCAAAAGGGCATCGTTAACTCAATTATATATCTCCCTTCGCACACAGAATCATTAAGCGTAAAATTAAAATATGACAGAAACCATCACGTAAAAGTTAAGAAGTTGATGAAGTGGGAATATTAAGTACAATGTTGTTATCCGAGGGAAGTTATTTCGTTTTTACATTCTCCGTATAAATTATCCCATCATCATTTTTAACGAGAAGTTTAATTATTAAAACTGTCATTAAAAATAAGATTCGTGAAAGAAAATAATAAATAAAAACAAGACATAACTAAAATCAAAACGATATTGCAAAGTTGAATTGTGTGATATTGAAAGAGGAGTTTCGCCATTATACACGGTTATAAAGCTATGGATATCTCCAGGTATCGATGCCATATATTTAAAAATCGTAGACTAGCTATAACATTTTTCAAACAGAACTGAATAGGCGTGGCTATATTTTTTTACGACTTACTAGGCTTCAAAGTGAATCCCACGTGAAATTCTCAAACAAAAGTTATATCGTTTCCCGGGATTTTCGAGCAAATCACTTTGTCTATAAACGAGATACGAAGAACAATGTGACGCACCAAGATATGCTATACTTTTGAAAATTTCTCCGTAGTCTCGAACAAGTGTATCTCTTTTGAATCGTGATATTCCGAGAAACATATTTTACACAGGTGCGTCATTTCAATCTCTTGGCAGTTATAAAAATAATCTCTGATTCTATATTTTATTTTGCGATGCTTCTGTTCATATAATTGCAATAAAATGATATTTTACAAGAATATTAAAAAAGGTTAAATTATTTTTTAGTATTTACAAAATAAAAAATCTATAGATATTAATAAAATATTATTTAAAGAGATCCAAGTCAAAGTATGTATATATACACCAACTTCTATTGCACTCTTTTAAACTGAATTAAATGTGCAGCGCCAGAGTGTTCATTTCAAAGCCACAATCTCCACTTGATTCCTCTCGACCAATAGAGCCAAACGCGATGTTATTGCGACAATTATGAAGGAAAGAACATTTTGGAAAGGAATTTGAATCCTATGGTTGGGATCTCTTTACAGGGGATGTTAAGAGAAGGAACAGGGGGAATTTCTGAGATCCCAACCATAGGATTCAAATTCCTTTCCAAAATGTTCTTTCCTTCATAATTGTCGCAATAACATCGCGTTTGGCTCTATTGGTCGAGAGGAATCAAGTGGAGATTGTGGCTTTAAAAATTAAAAGAGCTGACTAAATAAGTATTCGCATTATTGTTCATTTCAAAGTTTCATTTAAAATAAATAAAATTTAGAGCTCCGTTCGTGTCTGTTAGACATAAATTTTTACCGCTTATGAAATTGAATCAACGGTCGATTAAAATTTTCGTTAAGCGTAAGAGTCGCGCGTATGAGGTTTCTGGCTCCGCATGCGATTCGTTTATACGGATGCCGATTCGATACGAAAAGAATAATTGCGTGCGTCACACAAACGAAAGAAAGAAAGAGAGAGAGAGAGAGAGAGAGAGAGAAAAGAGAGAAACGTGCGTTTAAAGCGAGCGATCTGCATGAAAGCCCAAGTTTTCCACCGCGGCCTTCGTCCACGCGTTATACGTGATAGACCACACGATGTGGCTATATTCAAGATCCGAGGATGCCAACCGATTAATACGCCGCCACGGCTGGCTGCCCCATTAGCTTTGATCGCTCACCAACACGGGCAATCCGGTACCACCGGGTGTTCACGCGCGACTTCCGCGCGCGCGCGTCCTCGTGCAATGGGTGTTTACCGAGAGGCAACGTGCTCACTCGAGCGCGAATCTCCTCGTGTACTGACACTTCATTGATAATTTGCATATACGCGGCCACCGTTTCCTACGAAAACCACTGAGATATATAAATGCGCAGATGCGCGCGTGCATGCTCCGCGTCAAAGGTCGAACCACATATATATATACGATCGAATTCACATACAGAATGCGAGATGCAGCCCCAGCTGCAATTGAAATACGTTCCGTTTGCATCGAAAATATTCGAGGTAAATAGAATATTGACTCTCCTACTCACTCTCTCTCTATCTATTTATCTCTCCTTCTCGACTCACCAAGTGCATTCAAGCGGAGCGCCGCTTTTACCGTCAAAGACTGACCTTGCACAATATTCGTCGTGTATAAAGCGAACGACGGATTCTCGAGACGAGAAAAATATGTCGGGAAAACATTGGTCGAGAAAACAATAATCGCGACCTATCTAACTATTCAGCCATTTATTTCTGGCATTTAAATTTGATCGTAAGTAATGATTAATTGTCATACCGTTAATGGGACAAACAGCACGCTAAAACTAATTCTACAGATGTTACAATCGAACAAAGTCGATTACTTTCACAGGAAGTTCATATAAAAGTATATTCAAATAATTAAACACAAATGAATTGCAACTTTGAAGTCGCATCCCTTTATGCAAATGTTATAACAAGATTAAAACTACATTGCTAATTGGAAAATACATGAATTTCATATTTAAATTTTAGGCAATAATTTTTATATGCAACAATACAAATATGTACATACAGGTATCATTAAATTGTCGTATTAAAGTATCCTATTATTATGATGAATTTGTGTGACAAATAATTATAAAGCAAAGAATTTAAATCTGACAGACAAGTATAAAAGATTAGTGAATATATGGCAAACTAATTTTTTCATCATAAATATAATATCCATCGATTAACGATGTCGCTCTTGAAAAATTTGTCAACGATCTCTCGTGTCGTATAATTATACTCGCAGAAATCGTGAGAATTAACTGTTCCTTAAGGCGATTAATCATGGAAGATCAATGGTGCACACGCCTAGCTGAACGAGCAGATTGGCTCAACCGGTTCCCACGCGATGAGCTAGTTTGCAAGAAATTCCCGTCTCTCGTGAAACAGGTGAGTATATATATACCTGTCGAGAAATAGGGATTCGCGAGGCTCATAACGCGGCAACAAAATGTCTGTCTTACGACGCTCTTCGTGGTCGACGAGTACGCGAAACAGGGCATACGGGATGCGCGATAATCAATGTCAAATGACGTACGCGCACCACGTGGGCAGAGACTAATAACCGGCCGTAAACAGCGGATCGCCGAACGCGGCCGAGGCCGAAAGGAGAAGCGTGTATATCCGAGATACACCCTTGCATCGGATAATCTCAATATCCCGATAGCGTCGTATATACACGCTCCGCTGCCGCACGATTAATGCCCGCGTCTAGGACGATATACCCAGTGTAAGCGTCCGGCCTCTTCGCTCCACGAGTTCATGCTCGAGTTAGCTATCGATATTATTTAAGGGACGATTCGTATCGGCGACTTGACGTCAACCGATGTTCGCTTACGTAAGCTCGCGCGTATTAAAGAAGACTAGCCGGGAGAAAAACGAGAACGGGATATACATATGTACACTGCATACTTTACTCGGATAATTAAGATCTATGCAAATCTGCAGCTAGTAGTTTTCGCGCAAGATGTTAGAATGTAAAAGAGATTTGAAAATTTGTCAATTAATTTTCTGTTACGCATTACGACTATCTCGATTTATTGAAACTGAGAAAAGAGAGGAAAACTCACCGGCACCTTCCCATTAACCTTCCCGGCGTCGGTGTTGTTCTCCAACAACGGGGCACTGCTGCTCTTGCCACCCATCTCCACTGCCAGAGGTTCTGGTTTCAGCTGAAGACTCGCCGCGGACGGCGAAGACGGCGCTCGAGGCGGCGTCTCGAGCAGTTCACCCGAGCTCAAGGAACTGCTCGTGGTGGTGGACAAGCCTGTCGCGAAAAAAAAATAATCGAACAGCTTAGATTAGAATTTATAACATATATAAAAGCGAACTGATGCGATATGTATCGCGAAAGCTTCGAGCAAAATGTTCGAAACCGGACTTATAAAGCAAACTTATGCGATAAACAACTCGTATATCGATAAGAGACGAAAGAGGATGTGAAGTAACAGCTGTATAACGTGACTCACATAGCGGTAAATTCGTGGGTCTGGGCGTCTTGATCCTCGGCAAGGAATCATCGAGACCGCTACTGCTGTCAACCGCATCCTGCGAGTACTGATCGTCGGTCTGTTTCGTTTGCGTGTGCACGCTTTCGCGCTTGATCCACACGTCTTGCGAGTTCTTGTCGTTTCGCGAGCTCAATTTCGACGGTCGTCGCCGAATTCGCTCCCACGTCTCTTTACGATGACATTTGTTCGGTGTTGACGCTACGCGAGAGACAGACACAGATGCAGCGAGATTTTAGCACATGTCGATTTTTTTTACAATTTAAATATGTCGCGTTAAAACGTACAGAAGCGATTTTTTATTCGGAGGATTATAAAAATATGCATTACAAATCACGAATAATTTATATTTGACAAAATAAAGTGCTACGAAAAATATAATAAAATACTAAAAAAATATAAACACGGAAATCTCCCGTTATACAACTATAATAATAATTTATAAAAGTAATTTCATCTTACGTTTAGTCAAGCGCCGATCCGTGCTTCTAGGCGGACTCGCTGTTCCAATTCCGCTTTCGAGCGGAGATGCTCTGTCAGTGGTATCCGGTGACAGACTTCCGGAGGAAATCTCGTCCATGCTCTGCAAGAGGTCCTGCGACGACGACGAGGATCTATTGTCGTCGTCCACGGTGTCTTGGGGAGAAACTGGGTCTAACGTGCTTTCATCTTGCAACGACTGCGAATCTAATTGGGACTCGGCTACATTGAAGAGAAACATGACTTAACAAACTATAATTTTAGTGTCTGCAATAATATTAATTTTATTTTTATTATATTACTTATCCATCAAATATTATATACGTTAAATTATAGCACAGTATCTTACACTACAAAATATTTTTCGAAAATTAAATCTACCTTCATATTAAAAAAATTTAATTATTTTAATTTTAAAAACGTAGATATTTGAGAATCGCCAGACAGAATTTAAAAAAGTAACACTCTTCTCTCGACCGTACTGGCAAATATTATTTATTAAATCAGACAAATGTCATTTTTCAACCAGAAAAGATATTGAAAGAATAAAATACAATATAAAATTATAAATTCCATTCTGTATCACTCAAACATACAAAAAAAATAACTTTAATGAATTCGAAGGAAAATCGATCAAATATCGAAATCATCGTGTAGGATCGGGACTCCTCCATAACGCGTAAGTGGGTGATGCGAGAAGGTTAGGCAGAGGGCCTAGGTAGCTTAATGGTTAGAGCAGTCGCCGGCAAGCGGAAGGTTCCGGGTTCGAGTCCCGGTCTAGTCACCCGAAGGCCCGATTCTTTTTCGCGGATCCCACAATCGATTAACAAAATTGTTGGAGTAGTCGTGTACTGGATTACGGAGAACCAGAACGGAAATAAATTTCACGGACGTTAACTAATTCTATGAATATATTAAGCAAGCCGTGTAAAGGACTGATACGAGAAATTACCTTGGGGAGAGTCGCAATCGCTGACCCAAGTGAAGCTGGAACTTCTCGAAATCGCCGGCGAGGTTTGAGTTGCCATGTCGGCGCAAGTAAGAGAGTCCATCGGTGGACTATTCGGGCAACAAGAACCCGAACCATTTCGTATCCTCGACAATAGGGACTGCAGAGAAATAGGCAGCTGCAAGTAGAAATGAAATAAAGTAATCAGATCTCGCGTTTCTTTTTATTCTAAATGCAAGAGCAATTTGACATTTTAATGCATTTCAAAGAAGTTTAAAGACCCTGTATATGTGAATTTAAAAGTATTAAAATGAATAATATCTATGGTGATACATATTTCTAGAATTTTATTATTTTAAATATTTAAAAATTATTTAAAAAATAATTAAAATAATTAAAATAATTAAAAATGATTCAAAATATATTAACATAAATATTTATATTTATATATTATATTATATATTAAAATTCAAATATGTGTATATTAATTTATATTAATATATTATATTTATATATTTTATATATTATAATATTTATTATAATTAAATATTTTTAAATTAGTCATTATTTAAATATATATATATATATATATATATATTAATAATTTTCAGTTATTTAAATATTCTAAATCTCTCATCAATACACATTCTATATGTTATAAATTTAAAATAGCAAATAATGCATAATTAATTCCGATCCGTTGAAAGCAACAAAATAAAATGAATAATAGAAACCAATATTGAAACTTACGGATCCCGCTCTCGCGTTCTGTTCTTCCATAATCTTCTTTACGTCAACGTGCTCCAATTTGCCGAGGGTTCCGTTTACGATCCCGCAATTCTCTTCAATGTCGTCACTCCCGGGCAAGTCGCAACTCACCGCGACGTCGTTACTCCACGAAGGTTGTACCAGAGAGAATTTTTTCAAATCTACCGGACTAACTTGCCTGACATCTCTGTCTGATTCCGATAATCTCTTCGCAGTAATATCCGAGCGTAGAGTTAACGGCGATATCGCCCTCTTCTTGGTCAACGTTTCCTTCACGCTCATCACCTTGCCGTTTTTCGTTCCGTAATACCTGTCGTTTCTTAGACGCAACAGATCTTGATCCGGTAGCGAGGACACGCTCACCAGGATAACGTCATCAGAGTTCTCGTGAAACATCGAGCGTGTCCTTTTCTTAACAGCTTCGACAACGGTGGTTTCTTCTCTTCAGTCGGTGTCACCGGCGCCGACTTTGGCACGCGATTGTCCAAGGATCTAGACCTGCCGCCGATCTCCTCGTTCACGAATACGTCGTCGTAATCGGGATTCATCGTCTCGTGATCGTCGGTACCTCGTCGGAACCTCTGCAATCGCGTTGCCTTTCTACGCTTCTGACTCATCAAATTCACGGGCAGACTTATCTTCCTCTCGGATCGTTGTCGCGGCGGCAATTTCGCGCCGGCCTCTTCCTCGACCCTTCTGAACGGGCTTCCGATGATGTCCACGTTGATATCCTCATTGGTCCTTAATCCTACAGATGTCTTTGGTGCATGGCAAGGATTCAATCGCCCGTTCTTCGAGGCAAGACAACCGCGCTCCAACTTCGACGGTAGACTAGAGGTGATCCGATCGATCTGGCTCCTGATCGAATTCATCGGCAGGCAATTGCTGGGTTCGTCGTAGTCGGAACTCAGTGCGTCCGTAGTGTGGAATCGACCACGTTTGCCGATGACGTCTTGCAGATTCTCCGGCAAACTGTCGCTCTTCCTACCCTCCGGGACCAGTCGATCGTGCGGCTCGTCGTAATCGGAATTTAACAGGCAGCGACAGTCATCGTCGTCGTCGACGAACAGTCTCCCGTTTCTGCGTTCTCGAAGATTCCTCTCGTCCCGAGGTGGCTCATGTTCGCCGTTGGACGTTCGATCGGAACTCTCGCTGTCGGATAACCCGAATTCGTTCAACAGCTCCTTGTACTGTATCACCCTGACGTCGTCGTCGCTGCGCGCGACTTCCTTCTTCTTCTTCTCTTTGGTCAGTTCGCTGATCTCCTTGGCAATTATGCTATTGAATTCCGCGAGAATATTGTTCGACCAATCGCCGATATCCTCGCCGCTCTTCGTCAACGAATTTTGTCGCCTTACAAAACCGTGAGACTTCGTGGAAGGCAAGGATCTCGGAGTGAACGCTTCGTTCGCGTAATTGGATGATTTTTTCGGCTGAGTCGAACACTTTGATTCATCCGTGATGTGAAACGAAGTCGTTGGAGCTGATTCGATTATCTCGCCAATTTCCTCCTGAAGACAATCAAAAATTTTAAACATTAAGACATTGTAGCCTTTTCACCAAGTGACATTCTTTTTTTTTTCTTAGTAAAATGTGATGTAATTCATGAAAATAACATCATCATACGCGTGCTTAACGAGTCAAAGGCTTTATATGAGAAACAGTCATCGCTCAAACGTACAGGGTTTGTCCGGAAAGTAATGCGTCGCATTTTTTTAAAAAGAATTTATTGATCGCATAGGTAAAACAACTTAAAATTGTTCGAAGTATGACCCTTCTGCGTCAATACATTTTTGCCAACGCGATTTCCATGCGTCATAAGATTTCTGGAACTCCTTGACTGGGATGCTGTTCAGGGAGGCCGTCGAAGTAGCTTGTACGTCGTGTGCCATTCCGCACTCTGCCTCTTTGACTCCGGATCGTACTGAAAGACCCATGACTCATCCCAGTGATAACGTTGTTCAGGAAATTGGGATTATCTGCACAGAGTTGCTTGAGTTCTTCACAAACTTCCACTCGGTGTTGCTTTTGCGCATCGGTCAACACTCTGGGCACAAGTTTTGCGCAAATCTTCCGCATGGCCAAGTCTTCCGATACAATCTCGTGAACAATCGTTTTCGGCAAGTTCAATAATTCCGACATTAAGCGAACATTCATTCGACGGTCTGAATTCAATAATTGGCGCACACGAGTCACATTGTCGTCCGTTCGCGATGTTGACGGGCGTCCTGCGCGGGCCTCGTCGGCGACCTCCTTCCGACCTTCTCTAAACATCTTGTGCCATCTGTTTGACTGCGATTTGGAAAGGCAATCGTCCCCGAAAACTTTCTTGAGCATTTCAAAAGTTTCCAGCGGCGTCTTGTCCAGCTTCACGCAAAATTTTATCGCATAGCGTTGCTCTATCGTTCTCTCCATCACAAGTTCGACGCGACCACTAAGCAGAGGTTCACAGAATAAGCGGTCCTAACCCTCCAAGCGCATGGAAACAATTGAGCGACCTACCGTTGGAAAGCTAAGGGTACCCCCCTTCCTCCCCAACCGGTCCCATCGCTCTGCGATGTATAGTCGCGTCACAAAAAATGCGACGCATTACTTTCCGGACAAACCCTGTAGGTCCTCGATCGAGGCTGAAGAGAAACTCGCAAAATCTTGTCGACGATAGACAGTAACCTCTGCGCGGATATATCACGCGTACAGTTAGCCAGCGGAACGTATTTATAAAATGGCGCATATAATGAAGCGGTTACATGAGAGAGGCTGGCGGTCCTTGATGCTCGTCATGCGAGACAAAATGAAGAAACCGACCAGCTGCCGCGACTTAAGACGAACCGATTTCAACGTGCATTTCTCTTTCTTTCTCCCTTGCTTTCTCATTTTATTTAACTATCAATCGCATCTTTCTTCTTGTCTTCAAGTTTCAAGACACTCTTACACGTCATCATTGTGAATATAATATATATCCTAGTTAAGAATGTAAAATGAGCTTAATATAAGAAAGCTATATACAATTTTTTAGCTTTCATAAACAGTATATAACATTTATTCTGTATTTAAAGAGATGCTATTAAAATAAAATTACAAAAAAATAAACTTGGTGATTAAAAAAATTAAAAGAAATACAGACTTTGATATTTATATATCATATCTGATATTTCAATCAGAAATTCTATCGATGAAAATTTAATTATACTCGAGGTATCCATAATTCGGGAAAATTAATATCTTCAACATACTACACCTAATATAAAAGCTATGAAAAGTCACACACAGAAAACGTAATTTTTGAAAAATAATACGTTAAAGTATGTGTGTAGAATCTTCGAGCCGAGTCTGACTAGCTCTCTTTCACTGCACGGACGAGTTAAATTGAATTTGCATAAGTCCCTCGATGCAGTTCGACCCACGCGATCTCGATTCGCACGAGACAGCCGCGACCAGACAAAACTGACGCTTCGCACAGTCGTCGTATCGACGTATCAAATTATACCGGATGAAAAGAATAAGCTTGATTAAATCGAGAAGGTTAAGACGATTTGCGATCTCCAGTGGGAAATATTCGGACGTATAAAAGAATAAATGAAAAAAGAAATACGGAAAGAAGAGTCTCATCTTCAATCAGAATCTTACCAGCTAGAAAATAATTATGGAGATTTGATAAAAGGAAGAACGAGGAGAGACTTAAGAACCGCAACTCTGGCTCTACGAGCGAGCGAAATTTATAGGCTACGTATGCAAAACCACCGTTGCACGCAGTTAGCCTAACCGGCAAGTTTAGCGAGACTCATCAAGACAACGGCATGCACGATGTCCGTCGTGTCGGCGCGCGTAAGACGAAGAGCCGCCAAGATAAGACGAGAAGAACTCGGGTTATATCCAGCCAGGGTACGCGATTGCATCCAGCTGGACGATCAATCATCGCGCACGAGCTTCCCATTGTTCCTATACGCGGGTGTTACATCGCTCGCCGCGGGCTAAATGCAGCCGGACGCTGCGTGGGATATCGGAATATAACTGTCTCGAACGTGTCAACCCGTTTACTATCGGCGACCAATCTCTCGCGGCTTTGATGTACCTTGATCTATCCACGGGGACCAGGTTTATTCCAACAGGTTAATCCCGGCGTTGGCGGATACGCTCATAAAGCAATTAGGAACTCATTTCGAAGATAATCCGATTGTAACCGTTAACACAATGAGTACCATGTTCAAAAGCTTGACTTTTACATCCATTGTACCAATTTCCTTACGTGGGTGTAGTTGCACGTGCCGTGAAATTTAGTAACTATCGGAAACGCGAAAGAATTTTGCGAGCTTCTCGATTTTTTAATAAAAAAAATCAATGATAATAGCATTTGAAATTATTTAGGTATAAATATACGAAATTCCAAGAGTACCTATTATCATCAATTTAATAATATGTTCCACGAAATACTGTGGAATTGGAAAAGCAATTTTTAATCACTGCGTTTCGTTCATCGGAAATTTATTACATCGTTCATACTTTTACGTCATATTATATATCGCTGATTATTTCTGAACACATCTATCGCACTCTGACGGACAAGTTAACAAAGCGTCGACTTTCTCGTCCGCGCAGCCAAAATTGTTCACGCGAAACTTAATCGCTGTAATTGTTGATGGATCGAGTGCAACGTTTCCGTCGAAGGACGCGGAAGCGCGGGCGCGTGAATCGTCTTGATTGGAATCGCGTTTAATCTCCGCTATGCATCTACAATGGTGCGCGGCCATCAGGATGCAATCGCCATGTGCCATTCTAATATTCTCCATCCATAACGCCTTGGCCGGTACATTTATCAAGCCGATATTTATGTGAAAGCACGCACGTCGCGCTTCTAGCGGTGCACTTTCTTCCTGCTCGAGATCTTGCAGCGCGGAATGATTAGACGCGAGCGCGTCTGGAAAATTTTCTCTCGCCTCCGCGTGGGCCGACCGTCCGCTGATGATAACGACAATCAGCGAGATTGACGTTGCTAGAAAACAATAAATTAACACCCGCCGGCCGCCAATTCGCCGCTAATATTGATAGCAAAAATTGTTAGCGACTATCGTATTATTTTATCGTGAGAGCGCAAATTTCAAACAATAATGAAGTTTAATTAATAATTTTAATTGCCTCAGTTACGAGACAAACAAAATCTTAAATAAAATTTTCATGTAAAAAATAAAATATACATAATTTATATAAAAATAAAGTATTTGCATATAGATATATTTTACTGACAAGTGAAAATGACTCGTCAAAAGAAAGTCTCGACAGTTGACAGTTTTAACTTTTCTTTTTCAGGCGACAAGATAAAGTTGTGTAAGATATTTTCATTCGTTGACAATAATTGTGAACTGCCAAATTAATCATTCGCCTGTCATACCGTTAATTTGTATGAAATGAATTAATTAGTGAATAACACGGAAGTGACTACGATTGCAGACACGCAATTTCACCGTGCGAAATGCACGTCGCGTCTTAGCATCCTCCTAAAAATGAGAAAAATCGTCAACCCGTTCGGATAATAAAAAATTTCGAAAAAGCATCAGTGTCGTTCGTTAAGCGAAGAAGCTTGTCGCACGTCCAAGTCGCCGATACATCCGCCAAGTATGGCCAGTATGCGTGCCGACAGTTCCCGGTAGTGAATTTAAATTAATATTTAAATTAAAGATAATAAATCTTGACATTTTTTACTGAAGTAACGAACGAGATTTTAACATGCATTTATTACGCTGTTCACCCTATAGCTCATACTTTCTATGCTTATATTATTTCTTCTTCGATCAAGCGTAAAATTGTAAAATTAGATGCGTTGTGCGTAGGATTATTTATCGTCCTGCAAAAATAATATCTTTTACCATAACATAAAACAATTCTAAAATTAATATGTTTATCTTAATCTGTTTTACAAATACTTTATAATCCATAATTTTTAATATTTTATATAAATATATTGTATATAAAACTTGGTTATTGATTTCTTTTAATCTTACAAATAATTGAAAAATATGTTTTATTATTTTAAATTTACTTTTGCAAATTTAAAATATTTTTATAAATTTATAGAAAGTACCAAAAAAAGACAATTAAAAAGAATAGATTTTGTGTTTTAAATATTCAATTTTTTCGATCAGTTCTAATTAAATTTCTCAATGTATGTAAATATTATCCAGAATATATCACACAAAAAAACTCCACGAAATTATGCATTTACATGTAAAAGCGTATTAATTAGCACAAATCATGTGATAATTTCTTGCAGACTTAATTAACTCGAAACTTAATTAAATACCGGCCGAAGAAGCTATAAGATTCAAGAATATAAGTAAGTATGAAGAATAATCAAATTGAATTAAAGTAATGTTTGATTGTCGTATAAATAGTGACTCGTGCCCGAGCGATAGATCGCATTTCATTTCAAAGAATCGATGTTACAATTAGCGGATCGACGATTTTCGCACTCACGCATGCCATTTAATTCGCTCGTAATCACCGAGCCAGTTAATTAATTGCGATGGCTGCTAATTAACGCCATTATTACTGAATAAATCGGATGAATTTCAACGGTATAATACAGTGTGCCCTGAAATCAAACTAAATCAGTCGCATAATGATTAACGATTTATAATTCTAGCTTTTACTGCACTATTTGGTCCAGGAATCTATTTTGAATGTATTTC